AAGTTAAGCACGCGACACTGAGATCGCAGGCCGCCTTTTTTCCGGTCCCGGTGGGAGAGGTGATGACGCTAACGACTTGGCTTCAGTGTTACGTCTTGGCCGGCACATCCTCAGCACTGGAACCTGGATTGTCGACATCCTTCAAAGGTACGAATCCCTCGACCAAGTGTCGCTCGCTGCAGGGCCATCGCTCGCCACTCTATGTCCACACACGGGACGACAGCACGCCAACGATGGAGCCGTCGCTGGCGTAGCCCCCGTAGATGATGGGGGCCGTGACAATTTCCTCTTCGAAGTTGAAGACGAAGTGCTTTTCAAGCTTCAAATTCATGATCTCAGTCACAGCCAGGATCTGCTTCTTCTCGCCTGCGTCACCGGGACCCTCATCGCCCTCATAGGCCCCATTGAAGCCCGTCTTCAACTTGGCCCTCACGTCTAGGGGCTCCAGCTTTGCAAAGGACCACACGCCGGAGAGTTCCGGGTCTGAAGGGTCAGTGTGTTCACGGATGCTGTCGTCGTCAACCATCTTGCGGATGCCCAGCGCCTTCAGGCAGGCCTTCTTGGGATCCGACCCAGGCTGGCCAATGACTATGATCTCACCACCATCAGAGGCTTCGCTGGAGCCGCAAATTTGGAACTCCCCGAGACCCGGTGCAGCGTCCTTCATGGCAGCGGCGACGTTTTTGGCAACTTCAGGAGCATCGGCCATGTCGGCGTGCTTCCGAGCTCCTTCATGTGCATCCACCAGGCTCTCTTCGTCCCCACACTTCCAGCCGTCTCTCCGATCTGCAAGCTCGGTAAACGTACAGGCGTCCGACAGGTACAGCACCGGCACGGAATCTGGTTGCGAGCGGATGGCATCGCCTTGGTGCGAGCGGATGGCATCACCGCATGCGAAGATGGCCGCCAGGGCTAGGCAAAACAGGGTACCACGGGCAGCCATGGAGCACGAAGATCGATTTGGCAAAAAACGGGCCAGCAGTCAGAGAAATCAGCTCTCAGCGCTTGAGCCATAGCCGTTTCAGGAAGACAGGGCATGTACTTGCAGAGATGACAAGTTAAGCACGCGAC